TCGTTTTTGGGCATTTATCTGTAACTAATACTATATATTAGAAGTGTACCGTGCGTCGGATACCTTTAAATGTTACATTTTTGATATATGTTACGTTTAAATCAAATGATAACCTGCAACGCTATAATTTTAATAAGGATTTTATTGTTTATCGCCATAGCGATGTATTCCTACTAGAGATGGGCCGCTGCGCAGGCGGAATATTTCGGAAGGTCGGAATATGCCGGAAACCATCGAAATTTAGCAATTTTGGCTTGCATTAGCAATAATGCAGGCCCGTGTCGCGTCGGGGTTTCAATATTCAAACTCCGCCTATGATTAGTAAAATAGATAACATATAAATTACTAATCATAAGCGGAGTTTGAATATTGAAACCCCGATCACGTGATGCGACAATTAAGTTTCGGGATTTAGCGATACATCGCTATAACGATATATTATAAAGCCCTTTTAATAATACTAGATCAACATATATTCATGAATACTTGCAATGTATAGCAGCAAACAGGTATTTGCTGAAGTTACCTTGATGTTTATCTAAAATGTGAATTACATGAAAATGTCTAGTGAATTTGAATATGTGGATTAAGGTTATTTGAACATGTTTTAAAAGCATATATCTCGACAATCTGCCGATACGGTTACGTTTTTTGCTTATTATAGTACAATTATTTATATAGGGAACGCCTATTTCCACCATGAAAATTTACTATTTCAACCATTTGACGTAGCTTTTCATGACAATATGTTTGTCATGTATGAAAAGCATTGTGGAAATAGCAAATTTCAATGGTGGAAATAGATGTTCCCATTATTTATTATTACTTATTACGCAAGAAAATTAAAGAAAATTATAAGTAATAATATGTTACTAAACTTGCCCATCGCTACTTTATTTGTTATCCGCAATATTTAAACTCCGAAATTTTCTATTTTGCGTTAGCTTTGTAAACTTAATTATTTTAAAAAACAACTAGAATTACGAGATGTCAACAGCCATTAAATAGAGAGCTTAACGCACTAATTAAAGCTTGGAAAGTTATATACTACATTTGTTTTTACAAAAATTAGCATATAATTATCACATCATGGAACTTAAGGAACTTTGGGAAGAATTTAAACGTTACTTTTATTATGGAACACTTTTCATAGCAACTTATACTCTCATATCCGACTATACTTTTCTTTCGACATTGATTAATTCAACAAGTGCGATGTGTCAGGCATTCACAAATAATACCCTAATAAATAATATTATTCCTTGGGAAGATGCAAACCTTTCGCGTTGGAACTCTACGAGTTTATTTCGTTATAAATTTAAATCAAGTAATTATGATGATTACATAATTGTCATACCGGATGTGAACATGACCATTTATAATCTAGATTACTTTACAGTTAATTATGGCTCATATCAAAGTAGTTTTGGACTAGATCATTTTAATTCTTACAGTGGTATAGTAGGCACTGCAACCATTAATAACACGAATATGTCTATTCCTCTCGTTATTCCTGTTGCCACTGCCAATAATAATAGCTTTTCGAAACATACTAGTTATTTAATTATTCGTGAAGGATATAAAAGCCCGAAATCAATATGTCGGGCATCGATACCAAATTGTTACGTAAATGATGTAATAAACTTTCCCCTTAATAAAATTGATATAAATACATCGTCAACAGATAATTCCGTTGAGTTCTATGACTTCGATGGTCGCTTAAACGCCACCTTAAATATTC